ATTTAATTATTCGCGAACGAATAGAGCGTGGTTTGCATAGTTCTTCGATGCTGTTCCTGAGCAACTCTTTGAAATACCTCTCTGTAACAGCCGAAAAAGCGGCAAATTACTGGAACTGTGGTACTTCCAACAGAATCCTTTTGTGTGTTATTTGTTCTTGGAAACAACCATTGAATAGTCCAGTAAGCTGGGGAATTTGTAAAACAGACTAATCAGCAGAATAGACTACAGAAACGAAACTGTATCAATCTATTGTCGTCTACTACTTATAACATTACTTATTTTTAAGGTTTAAGCGAACATTAATAGATGACGCTCCAGATTCTTTTTGATTTTTTGATTTTAAATTTCTATTTTACATAAAGAAACGTAGAAGCAGCGACTGAAAATTCTGTTACTGATAGCTGTGCAGAAGATTTGTAATCGCCAAATAAAACAGCAGAAACCAAACAAAACGTTACTGAGTAGGTCTGCTAAACATCTTTTACGGTATATAACTTTTTGGTGATAACGTGACGGCAATACGGTATATGAAAGATTGGTGTTAGTGATAAACATTTTTGTTACGATTAGATAAGCTACTGTATCTTTGATGGAACCTTCTACTGGTAGTTACCGCTCTCTGATTCTATTCTCATTAATGATTTACTCACTAAAATGGTAAAATTTCTTGTATGTCTTTTTAAAAAGAGCATCTTATTCCAACCAAAAAAAATTTCAGCATCTGTAATTAAATTTCAAAGATATCAAAGATAACTCACAAGCAGGAAAGAAAATAATGTTTTTTGGACTAGGCGGTTTTTGTGCTTCAAACTGCAGAAAGTAATTGGTGGGTTAGAAGCACTTTTTGGTGACAGTGTGGCTGACAACATTTATTATAAATAGTAGACAACAATAGTTTGATGCAGCTTTGTTACTGTAGTCTATTCTGCTGACTAGTCTATTTTAGAAAATCTCCAGCTTACTGGACTACTCAGTGGTTATTTCCAAAGACAAGTAACACACAAGAGGATTCTGCTGCAATAAGTTGCGGCTTTTCTGACTACTACAGAGGGTTATTTTAAAGGGCCGCTTAGGGATAATATCAAAGAATTATGCAAATCACGCTCTATTCGTTTGCAAATTTTTAAAAGAAAATTTTGCATTTTCTACAAGCTTCTACAGATTTGTCGTGTAAAAAACCACGTAAACCATAACAAGACAGCTATATACAAAAACACTTGCAACTGAATAGTGAAATGTCTGAATCAGTTCCTTGTGGCTTTCACACTTCTTCTAACAAATATAAAAAAGAAAAGGTTTTTTTGATACATTATTTTCGCGTACGGTTTTCAGAGTGCACAAAGACTTCATTTTTTTTT